AGATGGCGGTGCAAGATGGCGGCAGCCTATAGTGGTGACCCGCGACCATGGAGATATAAACAGCTTTTTATACAGTAAAAATAATAAAACAAGGTCTTTGTCTGCAATGATTAGACATGTTTTTTATTATTGTCATTAGTGATTATCTCAATTTCGGCTAAAAGAATTGACAAAATCCTACACACTGTGCCTTTAATCATTAATAATAAATAATGTGTACCTGAAATTAAAATCTTTGAAAAGCAAATGTTTAACTTTGCTGCTACCTGCTGGTGTAAAATATCTACTGCTGTGTGAGTTAATACCATGTAACAGCACACGTTTAACTGATAAATTACCAAATATAATCATTCTGAAGATGTAAAATAAATTAAACAAACCCTGAGTGCACAGATACAGAAAGTGTCCTCAGGTTTCTGTCTGTTCTTCATGATAGTCTCCAACAATGTTTGAGTCAGTTTCTCAGATGCTCCGAGGTCTGGACCACAGCATGATGCTGCCACCACCGTGCTTCACTGAGAGGATGCTTGATGGTCCAAATGTTTGGTTTTAGTCTCGTCTGACCTCAGCACCCTAATATCCCTTTAGGTTCATTTCAAACAGGCTGGTCCTGTGGACAGATGGTCTCCTCACTGCAGAGGAGCTGCAGCTACATCAGGTGATGTTTGTCCTCCATGTTTCTCTGGTTAAAGCTCTCCTAACAGCTCTGACTGTTGGTGGATGATCTGTGTGGACAGCTCCTTGGTCTTCATGCTGTCTCTTGCTTTGTGGACTGCTGATGGTTCGATCAAACTAATTCTATTATATTCAGCAAATGAGGTGAATACTTCTGCACACACAGAATTAAAAGAAGTTTATTCTTTAACTTGATTAATCTGGATTACTGGAGCGACATCATCAGTTTCTGATAAATGTGACCCGTCACATCAAAACGAGGATTAAGTCCAAAAGTTGTATAAGGAGAAACAGACAAATACAGTGTTTTGACTAAAATGTTAACAAAAATTGCATTTTGTCAAAATATAATGAATAAAAGCCTTATCAATGTATCATTTAAATGAACTATCTGAAATTTAATCATAAAACAAAAATCTGAAGCACTTTTATGAGCAGTAGCAACAAAAAAAAACTGATTTTGAGGAAAAACGCCTTAAAATTTTAAGATTTTCGCTATGAGCTATCAAAGTTTTGTTTATTTTTAGCTGGGAAATCTCAATATTCAAATATAATTTGAGGTTTCCTCTTTATAAGGACATCAAAAATTCCTCATAAAAATTACATAAAATTAGGATTCAGACCAAATATCTATGTATTATTATAACCAACAAGACAAATTAAGTCATATACACTGCTCAAAAAATAAAGGGAACACTTAAACAACGCACGCTAAGTCCAATTAAATCAAACTTTTGTGAAGCACATTCAACTCTGTACAGAACAAAGTACTCAATGCGAATATTTCATTGATTAAGATCAAGAGTTAGCGTGCGTTGTTTAAGTGTTCCCTTTATTTTTTTGAGCAGTATATATGGATTTAATTATATCAGAATGATCCGGGTGTCAAAATGTAGCTTTTAAAGCCAAGAATCTGAAAATGTAATTAGGTCATTTTGACCAAATTTGACTTAATCCTCATTTCGATATGATGGGTCACAAATATCTGTGTTTCTTCAGAATCACAGGAAACATGTTAGATCTGTTGTTTCAGGCAGARTAAACAACTTTAAAACTAAAGAGTTCTTGTTTTACATGCCAGAAATAAAACAATAAAACATTTTATTAATAAATGCCAGTGTCAACCAGAGATGTTAATACTTCAAAATGAAACATCTGCAGTGAGACTTTATGATTTAAAACAGCTCCTATTTTTATTCTGTCGACTGATGTTGTGACTCATGAAAAGAGAAAATGTCCTCGCAGCACCTAAACATCCCATAAGTGCAGCTGTGAAGTGTCTGTGCGTTGTGTGTCCTTTAGGCTCCGCCTCTCAGCAGGACAGCAGACGGGACGGATAGTTGACAAAACAACGGAACTCGTTGGACAAGTTTCTGTTGTGTTTGGGCACAAAGCTGCACATTTTCACATCCAGCAGTTCTTTGGCCAGATTCTCCATGATGGCTCCTGCAGAAGCAGAAAACAGAACCTGATCCACGTTTAGAATAACTGTGACGCAGTCAGATCTGTGAGACCCACCTGTGCAGAGCAGCACTTTGTCTTTGCTCAGGAACCGGATGGTTTGGGCCACCTTGCTCAGACACTCCTGGGACAGGTACGGCGGGTCGGCCAGGACCATGTCGAAGCTGCGCGGCGCCACGCTGCAGGGCAGAGACAGCGGCTCGTTGTAGTCGTAGAAGATGAAGTCCTGTCCGTAGGCGGAGAAGCGGCGGTCGTACTCGAACACGACAGCAGAGACTCGGTCAGACCCGCCCTGCTTCAGCTTCTGGTACACGCTGGGGGCACTCACACACGCTACCCTGACAGGAAACACACAAAACTGATAGATTTTCTACACTGAAAAAAAAAAAAAAAGGATTTTTGGGTGTAGTAACATTTATTTAATTGTTCTTTTAAATTGTACAAACAAAAAAATCAAAATCTCTAAACTACTATAATTTACTAAAACAATACACATT